TTGTTTCAATCTTTGAAGCTCATATCCCTAAACTCCTCAATCATATGCAACTCCCTAATCATCAAAGTCAAAGAAGATTCTCTCAAAGATTTTCCACTTAAAGCGTCAACTACAACATTAGCCTTGTCGGATATATACCGTAGAAGAGGAATGCAAAGCAAAGGCAGAGAGCAACGCGGGTGGTCGTCATTGTTGGAGATTGGAGACTTCTCGTTTTGCAGTGTGCAATATATGATGAGTTTTGCGTGTTGGTAAGGTTGCTATATATAGGCTACGAGGCTTGAATCTTCAACAGTTTAATACTACACGCATTTGGTACGTGGAGCAATTCTGTGATGACATCAAGACAAGACTCAGTAAGTTGAAGGCTGCTGTAAACCTTGACCACTAAAAGGGGCTGCTGTCATCATATCTTCTGTGAAGTAATGTCTTAATTGTTGATGTTCTGATCTCCCGGGATCCACGGCGTGAATGTTTCATTAGTTTCTTCACAGAGAAAATTCCTTCTCCTATAATCTATTACGCGTATACTGTACAGTGTCATCACAAATAGTTTTCAAAGATCCTAATTAATTTACATTCAAATTCTGTACTTCTAATTAAGACTCTGTTGTTGGTTTTAATCAATCCAATTCAACTTCTTATATACATAGAGGAACCCATTTTACTTTTGAACTAAGTTTACTTAGACTTATTTGGTTTAATAATTCATGTTTTACATTAAATTTTAATGATCTAACTGTTGAATTTAAAGTTTTTAATGTACAGAACAAATTTGCAAATTTTTAAAAAATTTGAAAATTATTTGATATTTCTTTTCATTAATTCAAATCAATGTATAAAAAATGATTTTATAATTATCCGTTAATTTGAATTAATGAAACGAAGTATCAAATAATTTTTAAATTTTTTAAAATTTTACTAATTTGATCCATGTATAAAAAATTTTAAATTTAATAATTGAATCGTTAAAATTTGATGTAGAACATGAGTTATTGAACGAAGTAATTTTAGGTAGACTATTGAAATAACTTTTAGGTGACCGTTAATTAGTTGTAGTTTCAATTATATCTTTGTTTTAAAGTATAATATTGTATTCTTGATTCATCCAACAAAAAAAGAAAATAAAAGAAACTAGTGTATCCGTGGGAATCTTGTTTTGAGCAATATTATACTTAAATGTTATTCTTATGAGAAAAAAAATTAACATTTATTAATTTTGAAAAAATATTTTATTAAAAATTAAAGAATAAAAGATAGTGAAGAAGAATGAAAGAGTGGTTGCTGTCAAAACAAAACGAAAGAGTTAGAAGAGATAGTCATTAATAAATAAAAAAATAGTAATTGCCATTTCTCGTGACATGATAAAATTGAATTACACATCCGAAAATAGATATTATTTGAATTATTATACTTTTAAATTTTAATATATCAATTACAAAAATATTTATTGAAATAAAAAAAAATTCTTCTCTGACTTTTCTTCAGACTCAAACTCCAAAATACATTTTTGAAAGACACAATTACTTTTTATCAATTATATCGTAATTTATTAGAAAAATGATTGAGCCTCTGTATGCCGAAAATCATTCCGAATAAATAAAATAATATTTTAAATTATAAAATATTAAATTAAATAATTATTTTATAATAAATTTATTAAAAAATATTAATATTTTAATTTTT